TCCATTACTTTAATAGTATATTCGTTTATATAATGCAAATTTATGTAATTATTATTTTAGGTGGAAGGGAATAATTTTAATAAAAGTTTCGAGAATGCCATAAATCATATCTTTGAAGGAACATTAATTTTTTTTGCCCTCGGAAATCCTTTTATATTCAATTCAATAAAATGATTCATTGCTTTCCACAAATTTTAAACTTCGATTTTTTTTTATTAATAAAAAATACCCTAACTTATTGACATTTTAATTAGAGAGATTAAAAATGGATGCAATCAATCAATTCTTTTATTATATATAATTTTGAATATGGATTAGCAAGATTTTTTCATCTCCCGTTAAAAATTAGAGCAAATATGCATATGCATCATTTTTAACGCTAAACAATATGACTTACTTCTTCGAAAGGAAAAGAAAACCTATAAAAAAAAAAGGAAAATGTTATCGTTCGAAATGAGTTCTATAAATTTCCCAGTTTTTAAAATACAATACATAAAATTTACTTATTTGTTTTTATATGAATGAGTATCGTTCTGCTTTATTTTTCTAGTTTGATTCATCACGTAGAGAAGACACGATTCTCCCTATAATTTTAAAATATAATATTAAAAAAAATATCCTTAAATTCATTTTACGCTCCAACGTTACACTCATTCATTAGTTTGATTTGTTAAAGCCCATAACCTTTGAGACATCTTTAATTGTGGCATGCGTTACAGTTCTTATTCCGATACGCATATTAAAAAATAAAAAAAATATTCAGAAAGTTTATTTTTATCGTCATCGATTGAACAAAATCGATTATCCAAATCAATGAATTCTCAATTAATTCGGATAATCGATGCATTATTATATGGAAGAAACCAATCGTGACAATAATGCAGACGCGGCATTAGGCCAGCGACGATTAAATGTGCACTTTTAGAAAATTGGGATGATTTTATTAAACTTGGATGATTTCATTATAAAGAAGGGAAGCATACCGACCTTTGTTACGGCAACCGTATCGGAAGATTATAGTCATGTCAGCGATTGTTGGAAATCATCTACTGACATAGGCTAACTGCAAACTAGAATATTTAAAAATGCTTCGAACTCTATAAGCGCCAACTGTTTTAATCATTAAGACCATTTGCACTGATTTTTAAAAACTTAAAACCTTACTAAAATTATAATTCTTTTAACCGAAAAATTTTACAGAAAGTAAGTTACCAAACAGATATTTTATTATCGAGCATTCGACTATTTTTATTTTCTATCGGTTAAAGTATGACGTGCTATTTAACTATTAAATCTAATAAATGCAAATGACTTCTAATACATATGCATTTGTAGTATTTCGAACTATTAGATTCGATTACAACGATTTTAGAGTTATAAACTAGTCTTCCAATACAAATTTTTAAATAATAATTTTCTTAAGTATCTAGGATTTACATTCTATCCGTAGGTCCATTTACTAATTTAGAAATTAGTAAATCAGCACACCTAAAATTAATTTCAGGAACATAGACTACATCGGAAAATTTAATTTACACAGTTTGACATTTGACTTTTCCATGTCGAAGCTTACAATTTGGCATATTTTTAAATGAGTAATAATAATTCAAATTGTATTTTAAAAAAAATACAATTATTCAAAGATTAAATTAAATAAGAAAGTTAATATAATAATTCAGAAATAAAGTTTTTGTAGTTAAAAAAAAAAAANTTATAATATAAAATGTTATACAGTAAACCAGAGATACCCAAACTTTTTTCGGCGGCTAAGTCATAGAACCACAAATATTTTTACATATTCCAAGTATATAATAAATAGCCTATTTCCGAAAAACGTGTATATATTCAGATATACCTTTACAGATAAGACAGATAAGCAATATAGGCCTACGTATATTTTCTTTTTACTTGATTTAATCGACAGTAAGTTAAACAAATTAGAAAACTGTGTTATTTATAACCCTTATTTTTTTTTATCGTAAACTGATCCTTCAAGTATCTTTGCGTGTCGGAGTAAATTGTGCGGCAGACCGACTCTGGCCCATGGGCCGTGGATCGACATTGCTACACTAAACAGCGGAAACTTAAAATTATATTTTGATTGAATTAATGTAAAGAAAATCATCTTTAGTACATATTCAGGCTTAATAAAAAAATTCTCGTCTGTATTTTCAATTATATAACATTCTAATTCTAAAAAAATTATTTTTATTAGATATATAGCCTATCGAATTAAATTTTCTTTGTGTGATTCTTTCTTTTGTATTTGAGAATGTTACCAGTGAAACTGAAAATTAATAATATTTTAAATACAGGCCTACATCAGCATCTTAATTAAGAACAATCTCCGATCGCATATTCTGGAATTCCGTTCAATCGCTTCAACGAATTGAATGGAATATCAAAATATTGCTAGAGGAATTTTTAGCATTCTTCATTGTTAGACTTTAAGATTGCTTATTTAAAAAGATGCGGCTTTCATTATTATTGCTGTTGTACTCTATTACTGGCCTACATTAATTACAGACTTAACTAATAATTTCATTCATGTGAAAGATCTAGAGTAAACTTTATCGAATTTTTTCATAACATTTCTAAAATAAAACGTTTTGCCTTGAATATATGAAGATCGTATAGTCTAATTCACTACGATCCGAATGCGGTCTGCGCCGGTTTTTGATGACCTTTCATTCTGAAATCAAGATCACCAGATAATTTTTAACATGACGGAAAACTAGTTTCGGAAAAACAAAATTAACTATCTCGTTTATTAATATGGCTATATTACAACTAACGTTTATTCAAACATAACTAAACTTTTTATTTACAAAAAAAAATTCAAATTTGATTTTATTACAAATTGCTTGTGATGAAATTTTACTTGACAGCGGTATCATTTGCCGAATTAAACCGATTGCTTCTAAGGCATAAAAGACTGCATCCAAATGACGAATATCCTACAAGCTATTAAAAATAAAATAGGTCAAAATAATGTCATATTTAGGATGATAGGTTAATACAATCGAATTCCTTGGATGCTTTAAAGCCTTTAGCTTATTTTCATATCGGCCGGTTACGGAATTGTAAAATAGTTTTAAACAGAAATTTCTGTTGATTACTTCAGTCTTTATCGATCTGAAGGGAAATATTTTATTGAAAAAAAAATATATATTATAGCCTAACCAACATGCAAACATCAGACAAACATAAGACATTTTTAAAATTACATAAAGATCTATTTTATTCATTAAAGAAAAGCGCCTACTAGAAATATGAAACTGTATTAACATAAGCACAAAATTAAAAAAAGGAATCAATCGAAACGCTAAAAATAAAAATGATATGATTAAACTTGAATATCAAACGAATAACAGTCAAATAGACCATTTTTGTTTGTTTAAATAAGTTAACCAAATCTAAATTATTGGACTGCAATTTGACAAAATTGTAGACCCATAAATTCCCACAGTCGTCCGTCCGGCCGTCTGTCCTTAATCTCAGGAACAGAGTTAGATAGAAAAAATTCGAGACCAGATATTGAAACCTTAGCGGCAGGAAACCTAAATAACTATATAAGAACTTCTGTTTTGCACTGAAAGTCATGTTATTTCAATTCGAAACTTTTCCCCTGAAAAGTGTTAGATAGATGACCGGCACGACTCTATTGTTAAAGGAAAAGTATGATGTACAGGGGCAAGCCACTACTAATTTGTACATATATTTTAAATGAAATAACTCAAAAATATGATTACAAATTTCAGCCTAGAATTGAGACAACGTCACAATAAATAATTGCTCGTTCTGTTAACTTAGAATTCTTGACTTTGGCAATTCTTGATAACTTCTTGACAAGACAACTCTAAATTCTCTCAAACTGCGAATTTCCGAGAAATCGCGATTAAGTTTAGGTCCCCATGTATTCATTTTAAATAAGCTAATCAATCCAATCAACTTTCATTATTAATCGACACAATAAACTGTAATTCATTCTTCATTTTCCTTGGTTCTGTTGTACTTTTAATCAACAGTAAAGTATACGAAATAAATTTTTCTTTATATATTTTTCTATCTTTATAGATCAATCATTTAAGTTTTTTTCTACTTTTCTTTGAAAAATTCTTTGGATAATCAAATAAAATTAGTTTATTTCATTTTCAATTTTCTGCCATGATGTCAATATCACTGCTATTCTTTTTTAAACAATGCCCGGAGTAATTCTGACAATATTTAAAAAAAGAAAGAAACCAAAGGTTTTTAAAAACTTTCTCTTATTTTCTCATTAATAAATCATTATAGTTACAATATATATTATAAAAATAGCTCATTACTCAAACAGTATTAACGTATTTAATACTGTTTAATACTAACTTAAGAAACTAAATCATAATTGAGTCAGTGTCGATATATTTGAGAGCGATTAGTTGTTATAGCGTCGGATAATTTTGATTCAATTTCAATGCCTAAATACATTTAATACTTTAAATTGTTACTTTGTTAACTTAAAAACAATTAAGAAAATATTTGAAATGAAACAGTATAAAACATTTTCTGTTTATTTCTTAGTATCTTTTTAAAATAATATAATATAATTAATATAATAATGATCTTTTGTTTATTACTNTATTAAATAACAAAGAACAGAGTTTGAAGCTGTTTTTCTGTTTCGACTAATAAATAACTTTAGCAGAATATAAAATTAGTTGGTCGATGCCGAGCTATAATTATGTCGAAATATCTTTAATTAATGGGATAACATTAAAAATTATACGTTTAATCTGTAAATTAGATCTAATTAGTGAAGTAATAATTTAAAATTTTTCATTTCATATTGAAAGATCTAATAGTGGTTCGGAACCATTTTCGATCCCACAGGGGCCTTTATTTCTTATCCAATTCTAACAAGACGTAAACGATTCTCGAATGTAAAAAAAAAAGAAAAGCCAAGTTGCCAAAGCCCGTCCATTGGATGCAGGTGACGTTTAGGTCTTACCGTCAGGGGACGATAAGACCTCCACCTGGCGAAGCAGCCACGAAACAATTAATTAGTGAAGCAACCGAGAAGAAAAAAGAGAAACATCTCTAGGTGAACGATCCTATTTCTGTTTTGAGCACGGATGGAGAAAGAGCGTGAAAGAAGCCAAGAGACCCCAGTCCACTCTAGTTAATTGTCATGACCTTTCCCCTCTGAATCCTCTGTACAGGAAATGTCTAAAATACCCAGGGATGAGGCAGGAAATGAGTGTGGGGGTTCGGGGGACCAAGTTCCCGGAACATTGGGGATGTCTCTAGATTGCTGTAGAATGGACAAGGGATCGCGCCACAATATTGTCATAATAATATTTTGAACCGTCAAACTTACACTGAATAATGGCATAATATCCTGTCGTCTACGGTTATTAACGGGATTTAATATTATGTGAAAAGTAATAAAATTTAATTTCGTAAGAGTTAAAAATAATTAATAAAATTATTTCGTTTGTTTTCGACGGTTTGGCCAGTTTTAAATGTTTGGCGCTTCCAAAATATATATATTCTACGCTTGGAAAAATAATAAAGGAGAAAAACCAGTTTAAGATTTACCAGGAAGAGACGTAAAAAGATTATAGATCACACTTTACGAAAGGCCGACAAATTATTTAATATGATTATCGATTGGTTATTCACTCTTTTTTCACAAAGGGGCTTTTCATCCTCCGTGGCAGGATCCTCCAACACTCCGCAATTAGGAGAAGACAAAATTCGAAGCGATCTTTTCACGCATCCGCACTAGCCTTATAGCCTAGAGACCCACTTCGCTTAGGCACACCATCGGCGCCCACTCGCCCTAAATCAAAGATCTCGTCCGGGAGAAGGGGGAAAAAAGTCCTTAAAAACAACAGACAGTAGTTCGACCTTAAAGCAGCACCTGTCGTCGTCTCCCGTAGCAACGCCAACCCCTACAAACTCCGCTCGGGACATTTTCCCAACACCCCCACGGGATTATCAATCGACTGGTCCGTTGGTCTTGTGCGCTCCGTTCACTAACCATTGCCGATGACGTCGGTTGTGTTGTGACGGACGGCGTGAACCACGTGTGTGTGTAGTGTGTGTTGGACGAAAAACGTCTTTCCAAGGTGAGTAGCGTATCCGACTTAAGTCGTTTTGTTTCCGTTTAATCGCCTCGATCATCCCACGCTTAATCTGACACTTGTTAAGGCCCGACTGAATGGATTCCGTGACGTGTTGCACGTGTTTATTGACGTCATCTCCGATCTCATTGTCGGTCAAAGACAGTTTCAACGGAGTCAACGGTCGTTAGACAAACGCGCTTCTGACAATTTATAATCGAACACGAGCATTCGAAGATCGTAACGTAACATTGAAAAAAGGAAATGATACAAAGTCCCGTTCGGAAACTCTCCTCCGTGCGGCTTAACATAATTATGTGAGAGCATCCCTAAGCCAAAATAGGTGCCCTTCTTTCCCGTTCACGGGATGCTTTTCAGAAATTCGTCGACAATACTCCGAAATTAATTTTAATTTTTCAAAATTTTAAAATGAAAGTGGCGGGTAAAAAAAATTAACGGCGGGGAGTGTCTTAAAAACTTTCCGTCACGAAAAATTCTATGGTTGTTAATTTTAGAAAAATATAATCGGAGACGAGATATCACGTGATATCAAAATTATTCGAATCAATTAAACATTATCGTACATACCTGGGGTACGAAAACATTTTATCTAGATTACAAAATTCATTATACGAAGTACGGTTTGACATTATAGGTAGAATAGCATGTACTGCGTATAACGTGATACTTAATTTCGTAAATGAATGTAGTCAAAACACTTCGACGCTTCTGAATAAAAGCGTTAGATTAAAATCTAAAAATGTTTCTTCAACGATAATATATATACATATATAACCTTTTTTAATTTCGTGTAGGGGTAAAATTTTACATTTTTTATTTTTTTTTAATCATAATCGTTCCATCCAACTCTTCGTTTAGCCGTCGCGATAAGATTTTCGCCTATCAGAGATTTTTAAACTCTAGGCCTGTAGTCGTAAATTCATCAATGTATACTTCAGATCTTTAATTTAATTTATATTAAAGAACAGTTCTAAAAATATTTTATAACGTTTTTAAAAGGTTGCAATTGCGAAGAACGTTCACTTTGTCTGTTCTTAAACGGAAACACTCTTTTGGGGCTAAGTTGACAAAAATTTTCAACAGTTCGAGAGCCGATTGGATGTAAAATTCTAGTAAAAATGGTAAAAGAAAACACCGCGCCGTACGCTGTTTACTATAAAGCGCGGATCTCCGGCATTTTTCGCTAAAAAACCGTATATAGATATACATGTAAGTATTTTTTCCAAACATGTCAAAATAGAAACTTATGTCAACATCTAGCTATGCATAAAGCCCATCGATCACGTGATCGACAATGTCACCAAGGTAACGAGACAGTGTTTTTAATTTGTATGTTGACTCGAACGTTCCGAGGGGGGTAAGGGGCAGATTTTTTAAAGTAATGAACTCGAGAGATCCATCAACGTCTGGCGATTGTTACGGAGTGCGAGAGTGACGTCACGGACGTACAAAGCAAACAAAGTTTCACGCCGATTCCGTGCGGGATCGGTGCAAATAGGTGTCAGAGAGAAAAATGTCGCGGGGTTTCGATTATTTTAAGGGGGAAAATCCTAAAGAACCAAAGAAAGAAACGCTCTTCTTCCCTTTTCTTCAGCGATTCTAAAATTATACGCTGTTGATACAAGAAGAGATGGCGAAACAAACAGAAGGGAAAAAAATGGATGGCAAAATCTAGCCCAGAGCTAGTATTAGTCGATCTGCTGGCTTTTTTAATCATTAATGGGTAGAGAGTGTGGCCGATGACAAAAAGTCCCGAGGACAAACATTCTCCCGCAGTTGGGATTTTTATGTAGGCCTATCCAGACGCTCCAACGGAAATGTAGTTTTCCCTATTCCGTTTCCCGCCTCTGAGCGCCCAACGTTATAAAAGTGGCGTAAACAACCCCTAATTACACAATTAAAAGTTTCTGGGAACCCTTAAATAAACTAAGTCTATCTTATCTCTACCCGATCGCGAGACGCTTATACAAAAATTTCTAATTAACCAAATTATTTACGCTGGTAATTGAAAATTAAAGTTATCGTGAGTATCAGGCACGCTTACGAAATGATTCGGAAATATTAAAATAAAAGAAAAATCAATCCCGTATTTTTATCAAGAATCTATAAGTTTTCCTTTCTAGATATAGATTTTTATACCTTATTTTCTAAATTATCCATATCATTCTCGGTTATTCGTGTTAATATCAAAAATGTCCTATCGTTCTCGTAACATCTTAAAATGGATAAAATTCTTGCTCCTCTATTTTTTTAAAGATAAAAATCTACTTTCCTCAAGTTTGAAAGCCGCTCCCACATCTCCCTCTATTATTATGATTTCATTAGAACGTTGACTATGTTATAAAGCAAAATTATCTAAAATTAATCCACTTTTTAAAGACTGCGATTATTATCTTCGTAATCATCACAGACTTCATAAGATGCGAGTTTCTAGAGTTTAAAAAATGAATTCGTGGATTTTAAAATTGTAAGAATTAAGGCTGATTTTATTCTTTGTATTTTAAACTTTCTCGTAAATTATTCTTAGTTTTTATCATTTCGAAGCAAGCAATCGCAACCTTTTAAAGTCACTACGAATTGTTTTATATTGGATTTATTCCGATTGAAGCATTCCGAAACTAACAATCGAAGTCTACCGATTTTTAATCTTAATATAAGCAAAGAATTGCAGAATTTAAATATATGCAAATAGCCGATTTAGCCTTAAAAAGCTCTCCTGATGGAAAAAATATTTACGAAATCTTATAAATGTCTTACGATTCCCTCAAGGAACCGTAAGTTAACGAATTATTTTATACGATATTAACTTAAATATATATGTTTTATAGATTTAACGTATGTATATAAAGCAATTCTTTATATTTTAGATAAAGAAAAACTTTAATATGCCTAATTATTAAAAACAAATATAAGACGGTTTTTAATGTTAAAAAATTAAATATAATAAAAAATTTAATTTTTCAATATAACTATAATTAATATTAGGGAAAAAAAATATAATATAGTAATTAAAAGTTAATTGGTTAAATCATTTTTAATCTTAACTTTTTCAATCGAACGGAATATTGGCACTTCCGTTATTCGTTGGTATACAAGTCTTTTATAATTTCCTTTCTTCGCTCGTGACGTTTAGTGAAATTTAATATAAGAGATAGACCGGTATTTTTATATTATTTAAATTCTCTAGACTAAGTCTAACTTTTATAACATCACAAACTTGATTTATACAAACGCTAAAGATGCGTTTGTACAGTACATCCTAAGTTTTGTGATGGCAAATGCTGAATAGAAGCGCTTCGTTTAGGTACGAGAATACTCTGTCCTTTAGATTATAAATTAAATTAATTTATGCATCGAAATAATTTTTGTTCGTTCAATTTTACTGGCAGTTTCCGTCGTTTTTTCACCTGAGAGATTTGAAAATCGCTTTGTTAGTGGTAGTAACGACGTGACCGGTCGTAGTAATATTTGTCACATGATACACAGTAGCATTAACGATCCCCGATCACGTGACAGACACACTACACGAAATAGTTTAGTAGAGTTTAAGAGAAACGTACGAATTACTCAGTGTATTACTCGTGATCTACTGTGACGTACCTCTTTTTAAACTTCCTCAGTTATATTTTAATATCACGAGATCTGGGATCTTTTCTGGGCTCAATCGATGCAAAAGTCATGACTCATTTTACAAAAATGCCACTTTATGTTTTTAGATAGGCAATCTATGCATTTTTAAAATGTCACCTGATGTTTTTTTATATTATTAATTTTTGATATCGTTATTTTCAGAAATACTCAATGACCGATAATGTTAGCATAATATATTTTGTTTTCCAACGTATTTTTATTGCCCTATAAATATTACGCTTAACTGTTTTAAGAAATTTATATAGAAACATATATATATATATAAATTCCATAAAACGTGTCCAGAAATAAGTAAGAAGAAAACCCAATTTAACGTTTACGGGACAAATATAACAGGCTCGTAATTATTTTTGATATTTTTATTATAATGTAGTCTGTAGACAGCGCATAAGTTTACGGTTTGAAACATTATATTTTTCTTCAATAGTTCGAAACTTATTTTTACTATGTTTTATATCACGAGAAACAGCTCTTAAAATCTTTTCTTTTAACTTATTTTGAACATTTACTAAAACTGATATCATCGAGGAGTTCGAGAAAAGTCGAAATTTTCCTTATCAATTACTTCAATGGCACTAAAAATTCATACTTCCGAGCCTTAAAAACATGGTTTCTACGTTTTAAAATTTCTAAACCCGCTTCAAAAGTTAAAATAAAAGAAATATTTTATATAAAAGTCTACGTTTTAAACGTTGCAAGTACGATTTCATCCTTATTTTTACTGTTTAAAATATTAGATATAATGTTACTCGATAGCGTAACATACATTTAAAGTTTATTGGAGATTTCTGACATTTAGGAAGATGATCTCTATCTATAGTTGCAAATGTTATAAAGCTAACCATGGGGGCTTTGAGTTTATTTCGCTACGTTCAGAATTAACAGAAAAAAGTTTCGTAAAATAAAGGAGCTTCTGCCAATCTCTGGCAAATGTTAATCTGTTTTGTATAATTATTATGGAATATTCCGCTTCCTTTATTGTTTTTTTTCTTTCTAACTAAGTCTTTGGGCACCTGTAAAAGGCCAGATGTTTTGTTTACACCTGCTTTAAATCAGGTGTAGATTTTAGTCGATTAGACTGTGCCTTATAAAATATGTATATCTTTAAACTCTAATTAGAATTTTCATTTAAAAAAAATTAACACATGAATGTGAAAAGTAGCTCAAAATTTTCAATTGGATGTCTTTTATTTTTAAAATGAATGTAGCGTAACAACGGTTATTGGGCAGAATCGACAATTCTGAATTTATAAACTACAAAACGATTAATATTCAATTTAGAAAACGATTGTTTCCCTTCTAATTTATAATCAGCACTGTCGATTTACTAGAAA